CGGAAGTATCCGTGTCGAAGGTGACGCCTGAGTCTCTCTCAATCCTGCTTATTCCCTTACTCCCAGCCCCAAGGTCAACCAAGGCTCCCAAGATTCTGAAAGAAAAATGTGCTCCTCAGAGTCGTTGACAAGAAGGCTTTTTGAGGGTCCCTAAACCGAGAAGCGATCTTTTGAGGCAATCCCAACGATTGACCTCGGGCCGCAACACCTGTGCTGTATTTCTCCCTGAGTTACCATGCACCTTTGCAAATCAAAGTCGCGTATCAATCCCATGCCCCTAAAATTATTGAAGCCATCCCGAAGGGTGTCCTTAGTTCTGACACACACACACACACATCCGGTGACTGGCACGTGTCGAATCCTGACTTGAAACCGCATGAAGTGAACAGGCAGCCTCCATGCAACGCACCGTTCAGCAGGGATCCTTACATTATACACCTGAACATTGCCGTGTAAATGGTGGTTTCCCTATATTTCGGTGGAAAAAGCCATGTTTCAAATGGGCAAAATGGAGATCTTTTAAGGAGCCCTGTTCAGAAACCCTGGTTGCTGAACATTCCCCTGCAACATACCAAACAACGGGTCTCAACCGTGGCTTCATTGCGTGGTGCGGAATGGAGTTCGTCTCTCCAGAGTAGGGGACCCTTCCTTGGATGGGTGAAGGGAAAGAACCAACACCACCTACCTGGAGAAAGCCCCCAATGATTGAAACCACCCGTCTGTGGGCACCCGTTTTTTTGGAGCCTACCCTTTCTGGATGGTTGGTTTTACCGGGAAATCACAAGAACAAACACGGGTCCTACGTACTATTTCACCAGCCTGAAATAAGGCGGTTGGTCTACTCCCCACATAAACCACCATTTGGGGTGAGGGCGCGTGGGGTCGTTGTAATACACCCAGTTGGTCTTACACCGACTTTGGCCCCTGACCAAAAACGCCGCCTCACCGCCAGTGGCCAAGCGCCGCGCCGTCCGTGTCGCGCTTAAAGCGCTCGAACTGCTCCCGCAGGTTGTCCAGTCGGACCTGGCTGGGGCTTCGACGGCCGCTTTGGGTATGACCAAACGGCTCAGTTGACCACGGGACTTAGGAGGATAAAAATGGCCATGGGACAAAATCCCGTACCCCCAGTGAACATCCCAATCCCCATTAAAATAGACTAAAATGAGTGGTGCACCTACCCCAAAATGGTACCATTGGTTTTGACCCACAGCCAAGTAAGAAAAACCGTTGATTTCTTTGAAACAAATGGAGAACACCACTGAAGCTATGTGGGGCAATGAGTAAAAAAAGAAGAAAACCTTTAAAACCAAGAGGTCAAATCCGCTCGATTCGTGTTGGGCTAGTGAGAATATACACGCACCGAGAGTGAGGTGATTGGCAAGAATCAGCGTCGCCACTGGGCATGAAGCCAATTGAAGCCTCAAAAAACCCTCAGCTGCGTCTTTTGTTGGAGCCTCCAAAATTACTTGCAGCGCATTGTCCTTTTGGTTCCCTTCAAAGCCACCAAAAAAAAAGGTTCCCTCACAACAAAAAAAAAACAGACCCACACCTGGACTCCCGGGACTTGGTCTCTTCCGCGAACCCTGCCGCTGTTGTTGGAGTCCGCCGAACTTGTGATACATTTTTTCTCCTGCCACCAGCAGTGCTGACTCCAGCTCACCTAGAACTGTCAGGAAGCGTGGAGAGAACCCCAGAAAGAAAAAAAGCCTTCCACAACACGACTTTGCCGGAATCCATGATTCAGGGTCAAAATGAGGAAGGCAACTGAAACCCCAGGCCAGAACCCAGAAGTAGGAAGCGTCCTCGCCGGTTTTTGGTAGAAGCAACTCGCTTCTCCTGGTGTCTTTTTTCAAGGAAATAGAAGCGTAAAAAAAAAGAGAGCGCCAAACCCATTTTTGGGGCCTGAGACCCAGCCAACCTATTTCGCGCCTCCGCCTCCTTCACGGAGCTCTTCAGCTGCTCGTGCTCCACGTCTCGGTTGAGGAACCTGAACAACATGGCGAGCGCCCCGCGACCCCCGCGACCCCCGCGCCCCGCGTCCCGCGCCCAGTGTTTTGCGGTGCCGGACGTCCCCGGAAGCCGACCCAACCCAAGTCGAATGCCCTTGGCACCAACTTGGCGCCAATTCACGCGGAGATCGTTTGAGTGGAATCAAGAAATGGAATCAAGAAATGCCATGCGCAAAGTTGTGATGTCAGGACCATGAGCTCCATGTGTGACTACCTAAGAACATATTGTTCTGGCATTGCGTTCGCTCTTGTCCGCTGTCTACTAGCCTGCCTTGACAGCCTTGCCTGTACCTTGAGCATTCGCATCCTTCCTTCAAACTATGATCTATTTAAGGCTGTGGCTCAAAAAAACGGTACCCAAAATGGGTTTCCCTGGTAAGTGGACACATGGACCAGAAGCTGCGGTTTGCCCCATAGCTGTTTCATTTTGAGCCACACCCATTTCTGCTGCCAGAGGATGGTTTGCCTCTATTTCAGGCTCTCATAGCATCATCGTCATTTAAGGTAGCTGTTCCCCTGAACATGCCTGCCTACCCCAAGCAAAAAGAACCCTTCAAAGAATATGAGCGCTCCCAAACTCTCCAAACTATGGACAAATTTCTCATCGCAAGTCACTTGTGCACGATGTCCATCACATCCGCCAGGCCCGTCACCTGCCGAGTTGCCCAGCCTTGACCTCCACTTGGCCATGGGCAAATAGAGCAGCAGCCTTTTTAGACCCGCACTTGAATCATTTGCAGATCGCAGCCCTTCAAAAAGGTGATGCAAAAGGTCATTGTTGTCACAATGGGAAGACTAATCATCCAGCAGCTTGGCTTAACCAAATCTCTGTTCTGGTTGGGCGTGGTCGCCTCAGCGTGGACATGGATCTTTACTATGGCCATCTACAACCCTGTCAAAGCGTGGATGATCATCCGAATCAAGCCCAACCGAAACATGCTTGGACCAGCACAAATTCTATGCAAACTGATCTGCAACAACAGCGGAAGGCGAGAGGGCAGGTGCGTTAGACAAGAATCTGACGACCCTCTTGGCCGCAAAAGCTTCCGGACCCCCTTGTGGCTTGAGAGCCAACGAAATGATAGTCTGTTGCCTTCTCACCATCGACTGGTTTATCCAAACAGGTTGGCCCAATGGCTGCTGAGTGTGATATCTCAATTGCTGAGCACTCTGCCCTGTCACGCCACTGTGCGTCATTCTGAGAGTCTCGGTACCCTTTCATCGTTTCAAGGCAAACCACAATAAAGCCGATGATTTTGCAGTGGATCAAAAATAGTTGCCCGAAATGGAATCCTAGGACTCAAACCTGCGGTCCCCTGGAGGTTTACGTTTGACCCATACTCAGTTGTGGTTGCCCCCTTTGAGACAAGCCCAAACTGGCGAACCCCGCTCAACTGGCAGTTGGCGAACCTCGCGGATCTTCTGAAAGCCATCCTCGGTGTTCTGGGACCTTTCCACCTGCGGTCGGACTCACAGTCGGACTTGTGCTGCTAAGCGCCCTTGACTGGAGAATGCTGGTAAATGATTAGAACCGAACTTTCCTCCAGTAGAGAGGTTCGCATAAGGGTACATTTTTTCTGTCACTGTCGTCTATTTTAGTAGGGGAACCCTCCCCCAACAAAGGGCACAACTGGGGCACCTAGTCAAAGTCAAAATAGGTGGATGCCATTTTCAGCTTGAACCAGTCACTGGCCAAAACCAACCACCAATCAAGAGGCACCCCCACCAATCAAGAGGCACCCCCCCAAACCAACCAGGATATTGGCTGGAATAGCCGTGACACTGTAAACCAGAAAGCGCCTGTGGTCAAACTCTGTGCGCCTGTTCAAAAGTCACCTTCTGCAAGCAGTTCCCAGCAAGCTTCTCCACCTGGCCGAGAAAAATATCCGGTGCTCCAATTCGGAGGGCCGAGAAATTCGTCCCGGGGGTTGGGGAAGTCGGGCTGTCCCCCCATGTCCTCCCAGAATTAACGTGTCCTTTCTACTAGGCTGGAATTAGGACCCCAGCAAACAAAAATATGTTTTTGCCTGGCCAGTGGAAAACAAAGGGACCCCAAAAAGGGAGAACAAAAAAGGGGAGCTAATTCTGGGGAAGTCTAGTAGACTAGCAATAACATTGTCAGTGACTCCTTGATGTTATCCCCCTTTAGTCTGAAGTTGCCCCTTTCGTCTGAATCATTTCTTTTGACAGCATCCGCTTCATTGACATGGCAACTACAACGTCTGCGGTTCCATTGGCCGTGCAGAAGCTTCATGTGACTCACCTCTTTAAGCTGAAGCGATGCTAGAAAGTCAGACTAAGCCTACAGTCACTTGCATGCAACGTGCTGCTTCAAAGGTCGTTGACTCCCTGAAAATGGGTGATTTCCTCGTGCCAAGCTGATAGAGTCAAAGAACGCCTGAATGCATTCCGCAACCTGCAGTTTCAATCATCTGAGCAAATCCATCGACCCAATGAACAAACCAACCAACCAATCACCCGAAGCAATCAACCACCACCAGCCAACGCCCCGACCAGCCACCCAGCACCCACCGGCGACCCACAAGCCTGCCCAAGTGCTCCAGGATCTGACCGAAAACTCATGCAAAACGAAAGCCAACCTCCACACCCCGGCCCATGAGCACAAACTGAAACCAGAATCCCCTTTGGTCAACCCCGCAAAGACGCCTTTTCCCGGAGATCCAACCAAAAACAGCATCACAACTTTCAGGATCGGCCAAGGAAAATCGCCGCATCGCCGAATCCGCTTCTTTCGGGGGGGTTTCCCACTCTGCCTCCGTCCGAGAAAAAAACAAAAAAAAAAAACAGAAAAAAAAAGAACTGCCCCCCCCCCAAAAAAAAAAAACACAAAAAAACAGCCCCAACCCCCGAACCCCGAACCCCGAACCGCGAACCCCGAAACGAGGTTCCCGGCCGCGTAGAGCTTCCGGAGGCGGCCCGCGGAGGCGTTGAAGGCCTCGTTGGCCGCGTCCAGCGCCACCTGCGGTCACATGGAGAGGTGGGGTATCGGCGGACCAAAATGGTGGAGGTCCCTCTTGCCTATAAAAAACCACCCCGAAAAGGCAATTATTTTTTTTGGCAGCCTCAAGAAAGTAAGTGTGAAAGTTGGGTGTTAATTTGGGTGGTGGGCTTCCCCTGAAGAGTGAAAGGGGGGGGGTCCTCTAAATAGGGGTATGGCTCAAACAGGGGTACCCCAAGTTGCATTTTCCGGGAAGCCGTTTACCCAACAATTTTAGACACCCCCATGGAGTTGGGGCGGTATTCTGCCAATCTGGGCTGGGCTAAGGTGGTGCTGCTCGAATCAAATGTATGCTGCTTTTGGAGGTGTTCATGTGCTGGATGCTCTGAATGAGCTGCGTGTTCTGCGCCACCAAACTGCTCTTTTTATTTGCTTTTCGCTGGATCTGCAAAAGGGCCCAACGGCCCACGAGCACGGATCTTGCTTGTACCCCAGCTTGATTCCTCACGAGTTTGCCCAAAGGATGGTCGGGGGTGGGGTGTGATTCCAAGGCGCAAGTGGACGTGTCTGAATTCTGGCTCGGGCCACAGGAAGAATCAATTTGCCTCGCGCATCCATGTGTTGAAAGCCCAAAGTCACCGGCAAACTGGCTTCATCAAAAAAAAAGGACTACAGTGCAAGCACTGTAGAAGAAATCATTGTATAAGAAATTGAGGGGCTGAGACTCCCAGACCAAGCAGGTTGCAACTGCATTTAAGCTGCTAAGCAATTGAGCCCCCTGGATTTTTCGTCCGATTTCTTAGCCAACTTGTAGCTTGTGTGAGGAAGAAGAACCACCTCCATGCGCCAAGAATTGAACTTATGAAACCTAGGCTCTGAGATTCGGGGCACCAGCTCACCTTGGTATGGGGTGGGCCATGAATTTCTGAGCTGCCTCTTCGGGCGATGGGCCCGTTTGCTAATAAGGGATCTGGATTTCTTAGTGGCCTTTTGGGCGATGAAGGGCCCCTTTGCTAAGAAATTCAGGGGCTGGATTTCTTAGCTGCCTTCTCGAGCGATGAAGGACTCCTTTGCTAAGAAATTCGGGGGCTCCGTTGGGGGGATGAAGGACGCCTTTGCGAAGAACATCAGGGTCTCAGTTTCGGGCGAAGTAGGACTCCTTTGCTAAGAAGTTCAAATTCATTCCCCTACAAGAAGACAAGGTAAAGAAATTGGATAAGAAATCCAGCCCCCCTGGCTGCAGAGGGGTAGAAACCAGCTCTTTGAAAGACGAAATGGAAACTAAGAAATTCAGCCCCCCTGGGCCTCGACCAACCTTCTTATACAGCGCTCGCACTGTACACTCAATGGGCAGTGAAAGCCTATCAGCTTCACCTCCCTGAGAAAGAACCATCTACCCTAAAGATCGGTTCTCCGTTCTGTGCCCAACCTTCTTGTTTGGCACATCGGCCCAGCAAACTTAAGCTGTCAGTCTGTCTTTCACACATGAGCGTGTTTCTTTGAGGCTCGGTGCCCTTTTTTTCGGTTGTTGCTTATTATTGCTTTTTGGAGGGGGGAATCCAATGAGATCTTTTTGAGGGTACCCCATTTTGGGGATGGGTTTAAACGTGACCCCCCCCCCCCCAAAAAAAAAAAAGAAAGAAAAGAAAAGAAAAAACAAAGGTAACCCTTTTGAAAAACCGTTTTACACGTGAAGCCCCCCCCCCAAATAAAATTAAAAATCAAGCCGCCCATTCTGACCGCAGGCCCCACCTCGTGGCGCCACTCCTCGAACTTGGCACGACGCTCCTTAGCCTCGATCTTGGCCTGGCGCAACCCATGCGCAGGTCCGATTGGGCGGTTCTTTGGCTTTTCGTTTTTTTTGGGGGTTTGGTTGTTGTTGTTTCTTCTTCTTCTTCTTCTTCTGTTGTTTTTTGGTTTTTTACATTCTATTGTTCTTTCTTTGTTTTCTTTTGTTTTTAAGAACAGAGCATGCATGTGACAGGGTTTGGATAAAAACCCAACCCCCAATGCGGTGTCTATCAAAACCCCATGTTCGGAAAAAGGTCTCCCCTGAATCAAGGTACGTAGGTCCCAACCACCAATCAAAGGCAACCTGGGTGGTCGTCTTTTGCAAAAAAAAGAGGAGAAATGTGGTCTGGGATAGAGGTGATCCAGTGCCCACTTTTTTCGGGCCATCGCTTAGGAAACCAGAATGAAACCCACAACAAATTAACTTAAGGTACCAGGCACCGAGCCATCTTCAGCCATGAGTTTAGCTACCTACCGTGCTCAGCTTTTCTTCGATTGGTCTTACAGAAACTACCCCAACCAAAAGCTATTTGGAGCTCAGTTGGAGAAAATGATGCCACGGGCAAGGATGGTTGGAACAACCCCTAAGTCAATGTTGTCCTTTCTCCAAGATTCAACAGAGCTGACCGAAGGATGAACTCAAGTGGCACCAAAAACCGGGGCTCCCCAATCTTACCACGCCAGGGCCCAGGGTACACTTAAACCCAGAAGCGCTTCATAACCCCCAAAAGCGGAACCCCTGGGTTTGTGCCTCTCTTGGGGTCGTCAACAAGTAGAATCCTGCCAAAATCCTCCGATTATAATCAACACCCGGTACTAAAATGGTCTACCCGGAGCCATGTAAAGAGTTAAGAAGGCGGCCGCAGCTATTTATGGTTGGAATTGTCCCTTACTAACCTTCATCTACCCGGGTTTTTGACATGGGGTCTTCACGAAGGCGCGGAAGATGTGCAGTCCTGCAGGCAGGAAGACATCTTGGCCAGGGCCTCCTCGCGTACCTGCCGCTCTCAGGAAACCCCTCGGTGGCTTGGATTGGTTTGGATTGGGATTTGAACCAACCGGTTTCTACTGATATAAATGGGAAAGGTACCCCACGTCACCGAAAATCCAAACCAACCAGGTGCTCTGCCTCTTGCCTGCCAAAAACAAGTGACTCCTCCAAAACTTGTCGGATATGTAATAGCCGAGTGGAACATTTTCAGAGACTCAAGTCTTTTCAAGTTGAGACTCTCAAACTGGCAGTTGATCCGGTTTTCAAGGTCTCAAGGTCTCAAGATCCGGCTCACCACCCGCTCGTGCTCCACATCCTGCTCCAGGATGTCTAGCTCCTCACTGAAATGTCGTCTGATGGGTCTATGAACCTCTGTTTGCGTTGAAAGTGATGGGCACCCAGGGTTAGTCATCTGATTGATTAACAGGGGGTGTTCCCATTCTATCTCGATTTTGTTTATTCAGTATGCTATATATATATAATATATATATATACACTATATATTTTTTTGGGGGGGAGGGGGGGTCACGTTTCTTCCATTGTTGAGGGAATCATGCCCGTCCGCCAGGTTTGATCCGGGGCCAACTGTATTCCATTCTTTGAGAAGTGCCAGTGGGCCAGTGGGTGTCTCTGTTTTCTTCTCGGGTTCCAGGAATGATGACTGTCCTTTTGGGTTCCCCTTCAAAACCAATCAAAAGAGAGTACCCTAAAAAAGGGACACCGTCAAGGAAACGAGGAATCCGATTTCGTGAATCATCTTCAATGGGCGAGCTCGTCTTGCCCGATGGACATGTGTCCTGTTCTGCGCAGACTTGGAACCCGTTTTGGGGCTGAGTTCCTTTTTTCTTGGGGGGAAGCCACCCAACAAAAAGGGGGAAACTGGCGCCACTGCACGACTGGGGTATGGGTGCTTCTCAAAATAGCGGTCCTACAACGGTTGGCATCCTTTTGGCGTCCCTTTAACTAACAACCAAATGTGAGTCCACCATATGGGTGTCTCAGAATTTGAGAGGTAGGGTTACGCAGGTTTTAGTCTCTGGTTCCATTTACCAAGGTGCCATTTTAGTACTGTTTTTTGAGCCACAGCCATATTGAGAAAGCCCCATGGATGTCTCTTGATCTCTGGCTCGCTCCTGCGAGCACTGGGCGCCTTTCCTCACCAAGCGCTCCTGGACAGCCACCTGAGGAAAACTCGACTCCGGCAGCGGGTGAAAACTCGACTCCGATTGAAGGGCTGCGAGTCCAGCGACACTCTTTGGGCGTTTCTCAAAATGGGGAATCCCAAACAAATGGGTCTTTGCCTCGTGGCCGCCCTTTGCCAGCCAAGGGGGGAGCTTTTCCGGCCCTTGTGCGAAACCTCCAGCAAGCAATCAAAACCATCATGCCGAATCATGCCAAAGCAGCCCAGCTTCCTTTTGGTCTGTGCAGGCAGTATGTCATCTGCACTGAAGCTAAACCAAGTCCTGATGGGGAGGAGTCAATGGTACATATCTATGCTTTTCACACGCCAGTCTCAAGATTCTGAAAACATGAGACCCGCATATCAATCCCCCGTCGCTGGCAGTGCCATTTTGAGACAACATTCCAAGTGGGAACGTCTCACGCATCAGAGGTCCTTCGAAATGAGTTCCACAAGCAAAGCATAACATCCGACATGTCTCAGGATGTTTTTCTGTTTGCTTTTTTTCCTTTTGCTTTTTGTTTTTCGAAATGACGGGAAAGCTCAGCCGTTGCAGGGCCCTTTGGGCAACACCCAGTCCATCCGACAGGTTTCTCCCAAAGGCCCGCCTTCCGCTGGGATTCCGCAGACTTCCTCTGCAAGTGCGCCTGACGCGCCACCGGGTGAAGCGAGCGCCGTTGCTATACCATTGGGGACGCTAGTGTTCCCCATGCACACGCCCAGGCGACCATAGACTGCTGGAAATTTGGTTACGTAGCACATCTTCGCTGCGCAAGTGACGTTTCCCTGCTGGAGGGACCTTTCAAATTGCATATGGACAAAACCTTCGAAATTGCACATGATACATTGGCGCATTGCCTGAAGTAAGATGCCGCGCTGCATCGCCAAATGTGCAAGGACCAATGTGTTACATCGCTTTTCAAGTGCTTGTAGCTCAAACCGCCACATATTTACATTCTATGGCTTTCTCCGGGTCCTTTGGAGCCAGTCTCGTATCTCCCTTTCGTCCTCAAAGCCGGCGGCGTTGCCGCGTTGCGCAACGCGCCGTTGCGCCTCCATCAGGAGGAGCTTCTCTTTGAGGAGCGCCTGCTCTTTTGTAATCCTGCGGCTTGGAAGCGCTGGGCCAGCCCCTTGAAACATCTTTTTGAGCAACCCCTTGAAACTTCCCTTAATGCTTTGAGGGAAAACCACGCTCTTTTGGGGGGATGAAGATGCTGAGGGTCTATCTTGCAATTGAGGAAACTTTGGCTTGTAAAACCGACCGGTCAAGGCTCTCACCAAAGCTGGACAAGCACATTAAGCCAGCAGAACCGCCTACAAAAATGGTCCCAACTCGCTTGTGATTCCATGTTCTTCCCACCATCCAAAGGCCGCTTCTCATGGGCTCAAGCCCCCCACTCATTGTTGTTGGTGCTTGTGTGATGAATTGCGGCCAAACTGCGACACAGTGGTCAGAGCGTTTACAGGAAAGTGGAGGGTACGATCTCAGTATGAGAATTCCTGCGTGGCTGCCTCCATTTTCACGTCTGTCTTCTCTTTGCTGCACGGCAAACAAATGGAGCGGTTTTGCCTTCTTTGCTTTGCAGCACAATCCAATGGAGCTGTGCTCGAGTCAAACCTGCCTTGCTGTTTGCAACCCTCATAGCCTTCTACGGTTTCGCAGCCCTAAGGTGGCGCTTTGCACACTGTTATTATGGCATCTGCAAGATTGGTGTGGGCCACTGTACAAAAGGCGTATCATTCATGGAAAGAACCGAACGGCTACGAATTCTCACTTTTTAGTCGAAGACCCTTCAACAAGTAAATAGAACGCCCACCCAAAATATGAGCTACACAAACTAAAGCACTCCCGTCTCAGCCCCGCCCGTGGGACTTTGCTCCACTCAACTATGTCCGAAATGCGGAGATCTTGATCTGCCTCAACTCTATACTTCTAGGTGGAGCCATGCGTCATAGTTGCCAACATGAACCCTTAGTCCTTATGCCAAATGGTAGTGGCTCCCCTCGTTGCATTGGCGCCCCACGATTGCGGATTCGGAACGGGAACCCCCCCATGCTCAACAACCCAGCTTCCACAGGCCGGCGATGCATCATTTCCCACGTCAGTCCTCTCAGACATGTGCTGATAGACTTTCTTGGACAACACGGCTTGTTCGATGGCCTGGGAGAGGAAAGAGCGTTTCGCTACATGTGCCATCCCTTGGATTTGTTTTTTAGACCAACAAGTGTATAGTTGATGAACAGGACTTAGCTTAGCTCAGGTTCCGACAACCAACGAATGTGAACCAGCGAATCCAAACATGGAGCCCGCCAAGCAAAACGTCCAACTCGCTTGAGGCCAGACGGCCATCCCTTCGTAAGTCCCTATGCCTTGCAGTTCGGACGTGCGATTTCCGAGCCCATTTCCTTTGGCTCTACACACACACACACACACGAAACACACACACACAGAGAGAGAACACAGAACACACAGAACACACACACACACAGAACACACACACACACATGCCAATGAAACACACTCACACACTCACAGAACACACACACACACGCAGAGGTTGGAAGTGGGATCGAATGAAATGGCTCGCTTCTCTGAGCCCAAATCTGAGCCCCGAGCATAATCCATGGACTTTTTCTCCTTGTCCAGAGATAATGTATACTCCTGCAAAAAAAAAAACGAAAAATACGATCCAACTGAGACATTCGGCTTTTGACTGACTCAGGAAAAAGCAGTAAACGGCATCTGGCAGAGTGGGAAGCTGAACATGGCAATGCAAGATTCCTGCCTGAAGCTTTGAAGATTCGTCGGCACCATAACCATGACTTCGATCCGCCACACGGATCTGTTCTCGAAGCTTGGTGATTTCGGCCTGTCCAGAAGAAATGAGCGGACGCAACGAATTCCACAATGCGCAGCGTCACACGTACATTGTCACCTGCTGGCTTGCGTTGGCTGGGCGCCTCTCTCCTCTCTGCTTCAAGATGCACTTGGTCGTACTGTGCGCGGACATCCGCCAGGATTCGCCGGACTTCCTGCACAGACATGGGCTGCGCTTCCAAAACAAAAACAAGAAGGCGATCACAGTGGGGTCAGCTACAAGCTGCCCTGCTGCTTGCACAACCGCCATGGACCGTGGTTCACCTTATGAGCTGCTGCTTGCGCAAGACCATCCCAACCCATTCCAAGTTGCAAACGAATGGGAAGAAGTGCTCAACAACCACATTTTAATCGCCAAAGACCCCATGGTTCGTCCTCCACCGCAGTGTCGTCGCCAGACTGAAATGCACCCTGCGCCGGCTCTCTCGCGGGCTCCGACTTGGGAACTTGGCCGGAAAATTAGGAGCCCAGCACAAAACGAGGTACCTCGTTTTGCCTGTGGCAAACAAGGCGACACCCAAAAAAGCAAATCAAAAAGGGCAGCTAATTCCGGGCAGAAAAAAGGCCCCAAGCACTGTTGATGGTGCTATGGTCCCAAACACATTCAACATGATCAGTGTGGGAAGGGGGGGGGTGAAAATGAGACGTGGCTGACAGATTCACCCCAGTCGCGAACAAGCCTCCGTTCGTTCCACCAGCTTCAGGAACTCCGTGTTGCGGCTGCCCGCCAAGGATGCCTCAAGAACTGCGAGTTGAGATACCCTCCCACCAATTAACAATTAACAGTTCGACGTCCGGGTGGTCCTGGATTGGAGCATTTTCTTTTTAAAGGGACCCAGCCCTGTCAGGTTCCGTGTTACTTGGTGGGAGGGTACCTCTTACGTCAGACTACGCCCAGAGAATCGGGGGATTACACGCACATACGTATATGCCTGTTAAAAAAAGTGGCTCTCTCTCTCTCTCTCGCGTGGTTGGTGGTATATCCTAAACTCCTGGAATCGGGTGGTTTGGGTGCAAGGACTTGGAGAGGTCCAGGCCCTCAAATCCAAGCCCAGGCATTTCTGGAGACTTGCAAAGGCACGCGAATTACATTCGCCATCCCAGTTTGCGGTCATAAATATATATATATATATATATTATAATGTGTATATATATAAATACACATCTTGTTCTGCAATTGGGTCTGAAAAAAGGATGTTAAGTACAGGCTCCGAAACATGTGCGGCTTTCCCTCAGACTTCCCCTCCCGACCCCGACGCCACCCGAGAAAAAAAACAAAAACAAAAACCGACCGAGGCGAGGCGAGGCCTTGAACTTCTTGGAGGCGTTGCCGCTCCGGAGGGCTAATGTGCCATCCCTGGGCGTCCGATCTTCGCATCCGGAAAAGAAGACCGAGGCCAAAAAGAACCCTCCACTGGCGGCTTCCCTAAAACCAAGACTCATTTCCCAAAAGCCCCAAAGGTGGATGAATTCCCAAAACCTCCCGGATCGCAAGGTTTGCTGAGGCTTGGACTTGGACATCTTGACCACGTGAGCACTTGAGCCGAAAGGGAGAGAAGTGCAAAGGTTTGGAGCCTCCCCTCTGAATGGGTTTGTGTCAAAATAGGGATACCCCCAAAACATGTGCCTTGCCTATTGCTTCCTCTTCAAAACAGCCTAAAACGGGTACCCTCCAAAACCACACACCGAATGGCAAACCTCCTGTTGGGACTGAACCGACATTTCTGACACCTGTCTTTCGAGCGTCCAAAGGATTTGTCCAAGTGCAAGTTGGGAACCTTCTGGGGACCCATTTAAACCAAAACACCGGATGTTACCAGAGAACTTCATTGTGTTGGAAAATTGCCCACATGGCAAGCCTCGAATGAGGGGCATGCCTTTTGCGCCCTTGGTCGTAATGGGCAGTCATGGCGGACCACATGCAAAATGCAATGAACCCCAATGAAGCGCATACAACTTCAGGCTAAGGCCCGTGAGATCTTTTCCGAAGGGTCCACGATCAGGGTCCAAGTCATGGTTGATCGATCAGGGGGGTGTCCCAGTGGGGACATCCTCGGACAAACACAGCCTGCCAATGCGCCAGGTGGATCCATCCAGAGTCAACATTGTACCAGGGTGAAGCTACATGGCTCAATTCCCTTTGCCGGGCGTAGCGCCTTAGATGGTCAACCTAAACCAACCCTAAACCAATACTAAGCCAAAACCCTAAACCTAAATCCCAAACCATCAAATACAGTACGTCCGCCTTCCCTTTGGGCAAAGGGGATGGGTGTTTCTCAATGTCAGACACTTAATCCAGGTTTCTTTTTGGCTTCCCCTTAAAGCCATCCACCCATGTGGGTTCCTTTCTTTTGCAGGCCCACTGCCACTTCCGATCGAAGCTGTGCCATGCCACGGGTCACCCCGGAAAAACCAACAGTTTGGTTTCCTCTCTTTTGAGACAGGCCTGCCTCTGCCATCCTGGGAAAACCGGCAAAAAAGGGGAGAGAAAAAAACGAACAGAACAGACCTGCCTCTGCCAGCCTGAACACAAAAAATGGTTGGCGCACGTGGCCAAGAGGTGCAGCGCAATGGCCCTCCGCAGACATGTGGACTTCACCAGCAGCGTCACAAGCCTGAGAGAGCGCGAGAAAGCCACCGATGCCCAGCCTCTTGGCATCCGCCAAAACCAAAAAAAACGCGCGGAAGGCCCGCGTGTGATGCTCAGCACCGTGCTTTTTGAAGAAGAAAAAGGGACCTAAGGATCTAACCAAACAAATGTGCGGAAAGACTACCTAGACGCGTAGTACAATGTTGTTAGACTATTGAATCAAAGCATGTTTGATCAACCAGCAGGTGAACTTGCGTACACATCGCAGTGGCAATGACTCTTTTGTTGCGGGAAGATGTGCATAGGCCTGATTTGCACACCCGGCAAGGACACCTACTGACACCAACCTGGCAGAACAATACGGGGCTCCCAAAATATCCAAAACATTGAAGGATTCCTTCTTAAATGGGACATCCCCTACCAATCAGCTGGGTTTGCCAATCCTGGCAAGCTCTGGGTGGCGAGGATTGGAGTGAAGCCCCCTGCAGATCCCCTCCTTAAACGTTAACAAGCAACACACACGCCTGAACCTAAGAGGTCCCACACTGAACATGAGAAGCGCTGCGTCAGGCTTGCACGTCCAAGTTGCTTGACTCGTGACATTGCAAGTGCGAATTGTTCATGAGAAGCTGATCCGTGCCCATGCCACCATTTTGGTTTGGGCTCGCCAAGATTTGAAAAGGGGCCATTTTTCTTTCACATAAACGTGCACACCCAAAAACAGGTGATGTCTCCCTTTTGGTGTCTTTTAGACTTTCATCCAACCCGAAACGAGACATCGTCCCAAGAAAACCAGCTTCGAAAAGTCGTGGCGGACCGGTTTTGCGCCCATAACGAGACACACCCACAGACACTTGTGTTAGTTAAGGAAAGGCGGGCCATGGTGGGCCCCCCGGCTTCATGAGGGGCTCGTCCAGACAGCTCCAGCTGGAGCTGGAGGGTACCTCCGCGACCAAATCAAGCGGCTCGGACCAGAGGGTGGTTTATCCCATGGGGTTTCATCCAAACTGGGTTGACTGGCAAAATGAAACCAGACCCCTACAAGTTCACCAATGGCTTGGGCGAAGTGGCTCAGGACATGCAGATCCACAACGAATCAACTTTGAAATGTCAACCTCCCAAGACACAAACAACGGAACCATCAAAAGAACCGTGCCCTTCAGCTACCATGGCAATGCGGAATCCCGGGTTCTACAAACTCATCTCTGCAATTCAGGGGCGTTCTTGAGGCGATGTCTGGATTTTGCCATATTGGATACACTCCAGTGAGGGGACAAATGCGCATGGCAAGCGAGTTACAGTAGCAGAAGGGACGAGTATGGAGAGTTGAACGGCCAAGGCTGCTCGCTGCCAAACTCAGCGTCAGCAACATGGATCAGTGGGCTCCTTGGGAACGTCAAAGTCGCTTCCCAAGGGGCACCACTCGGATGTATCAGCGGGTTGACCCCATCAACAGCCCCTCACAGGTTACAGTTAGTATCATGAGGTTATGCACTCCACTGCAGATGTAACATGTCATCCAAAACGATCTTCCAGAGAGGAATATCCATCTGGGGCTTCTATGGAGGTCCACGTAACACAAAGTAACAGGCTGACGTGTGTCCGCGCACAGGATATGCACGCATTGAATTAGATACTCTCAAACAAATGTGATGTACTGGTGGTTTCCCTTTAAACCAAACCCCCCAAGGGTACCCTCACAAACTACAAATCACAACTCAAAATCACCGAACAGTGCACCCGGTCCCGCAGTCTAAGGACACAACCTAACCTCCAACCACCAACCTAACCTCAACCAACCAACCCCAAGCCACCAACCTTCCAGGGTTGATTCCGATTCCACTCTTTTCAACCATCGTTCTTTTCAAGAACCGGATCCGTTTCCTCTGGGTGATTGATGGTTTCCTGCCAGGGATCCCTGGAAAGAATCATTGGAAGGTACCCCAAACCAAACCAAACCTCACCCCTCACCCCCGAGGTCCCTGGCCGCCCGCTCCAGGTCTGCCGCCGCGGCCGCCCGCTGCTTCCGCAGCTGGGCCTCTGCTTCGGCTCAAGTCTTTTGGACCCCGACCAATGGCGGTCCCTTTCAACCGACTCCACAAGTGGGTGTGGTTGTCAAAAATAGGGTAACCACAAAATGGCTTGCCCTGGTAAATGGACACCAACGACTAAAACCTGCGGTCCGCTTGTGGCTTAATTTTGACCCGTACCTAAGTGAGTACCCTTCCTCCAACAAACAGAGTACCAGTGGAAGGTCATCTGGAAGATTAATTTCCTTTTCAAGGGAACCCCTCAGAGAAAGACACACCCACGGCTTGTGATTGCTGCTTTGAAAAGAAATGAAGCAAAGGACAAACAATCCGATGAATAAGAAAAGCACATGCATGTCTCCGAAATAGGGCCAACTGAGCTTGGCGTTCTTCTTTCTCTTTTCGGGACCTAAGGAAATGCGGGGGAAGCACGCCCCAGGCCAGGATGGCACCTTTCAATTTGACTCTTTGCTTTGTTACCTGGGGATAAGCGAAGGTAGCAGTTCCAAAATTGAAAACAACCTGGATCCGTGGAAAGGAAGGCGCCTCACTTCAAATGCCATGGGCGTCAGTGGTCGGCATTTGTGTGTGTGAACCTGGCTGCAATGACGCCTGTGGGAAGTCCACTCAAGTGGTCTAGCCACTGTTGGTGGCTAGAGTTCTGCAAATGAGCGACTCTATAAACCTCCCATGAATCCCTATGTCGTATCAAGTTGCTTACGCGCAAGCTTGCGCTTTCCTTACGCGACCCATGTTTTAGCTTACGCGGCAGTCAGACAGCATGTAAAGCTTACGCATCGCTTACGCGTCGGCGTTTTGAGCGTTTCCCCTCAAGAATTGCTTACGCGGGCTTCTTTTCCCGTGCAGCCGCCAGAACTGTTGAAGATGATGTGGATGACTGTGTGGAAGAGAGGACGAAGAACTACGCTCGCAAGCTTCAGCAGCTTGGTGTTCTTGCTGCGATAATCAAGAAACAGGTTTTGCGGTAGCGGCATCCATCACGAGGGCTAGCGGGCAGCTGAGCTAGGCGAGCTTACGCGAACCTTACGCGCCTGCTTACGCGAGCTTACGCGCCCGCGCCCCTGTAGTTTTCCTAAATCAGCGGCTACTGAAACCTTTGTTTGTCCTAGTGGAGGTTGCGACAGCACCTAGCATAAGCCCCAAGAGCTCCCAATCAAAGTTCTGCTGTTTTTTTCCTCCGAATGGTGCGCACATGCGGTCTTAGACGTCTTCCTGCAGCCAAAGTCCTCCGGGCAAGTTGCCAAGCTCGACTAGGTTGCAGCACAAGCCACCAAAAAACGCATAAGCACATGTGGGACAACTCTTCCGAGCATGCTTACAAAGCTTACCAAGCAATCACGAAGAAGAGCTTACGCAGGTGCTTACGCAACATGTTTCCCAAAAAAGTGCTTACGCCCGCTTACGCCGTGCAGGCTTTGGCTTACGCAGGGCGTTGTTATGACACAACTCTTGCTTGGCATGTAACGGGGGGTTTTTAGAGCTGCTCAAATGGGGGCCTGTATATGGGATGGCCATTTGAGGAAATCACCAAAAAGATGATATGTCCCCACCAAACTGGACAACTTTATTCATGGTCATGCATGACTGAATCATTTTGCTCACATTATTGTTGACCATTGGCACTGCTAGCACGGCCACAAAGGCATGTGGAATCACGAAAAAGGGCTCGTCCTAAAATACGGGCGCGAGTTTCTCCTGTGTTTTGTGAGGCAAGCCCACAAGTGGAAACCAAAAAGCAACCAACACATTCGGCCATCCAAGCAGTTGAGAGCTTTCCTGTCTCCGAATCAAGTGGTGGTTCTTCCATGTTTACCCTCTTGCTGCTTCTTTTTCCCTACGCGCACCCAACGTTGCGGGTTTCCCTTTTGGCCTCCTGTTCACCCCTCAGGCGCTCGCCTCCAGGGCCGCGGTCTCCTGTCGCATGGCCTCCGACTTCTGCTTTAGGAGCCCCACCTGCGGCGTCAAATCAGTTGGGGCTGCCTTCCCTATGTTCACCGGGGGTACGGGGGTTTAACCCACAGCCAAAAGGCAAACGCGGACTGAATGACTTCCAATTCCAGTCTTTCCAGGGATCCGGATCTTTCTAGAAAACCTCCAGCAGCCCGATCGGGAAAACGGATCCGGTTTTTGGCAAGAACGATGGTTGAAAAGAATGGGGAATCAACCCCTAGAGAAGTCATGGGAGTAAACTAATGGAATGCGAGTTTTAGTCTTAGTCTTCAATCGTAAACTAATAGAATGCCGTCATTTAAGCCATATTTAGTCTTTCGTCGTATACTCTGCAAAATGTTCAAGTGGAACCGAATCAGGGGAGTCTTCCAGAAAAGGGCTCTTCCAAAAGTGGATGATTCTCTCTTCATCTTGTGAACTGACACCCTATCTGGGATGCTTTTATCGGAAATTCATAGGGAATCCGATTTCCAAGTTGGGGTTCCCTCACCCCAAGGGACATTGTAAGGCCGCCCCTGTAATCCTCAAGAATTTTGGAGAAGAGATCGAACTATCTCTTCAACCTGGCTTGCTGCGACATCGAAAGGTGCCCCTGCCTTCTGGAGTAGCTGACGCGAAATTAAGAATTGCCGAATTCGCCCAACGCCCATTGACACTGCCTGAGCCAGCTACCAAGAACAAAGTGCCAAACAACGAGATCTCCTATTCAAACCACCACATGTAAGATGGAATAGAAGAAACCTGATTCCTGCCTGGGATTCAGAGTCAAAGGGGAATCAATCAAAAACACAACGACCGACGAGATCACCAAGCAACTCACAAGGAAAAGTGCATGAAGAAGTCAAGCGACCGACCGACCGACCGGCCAACAAACCAACCAAGCGACCCAACTACAATGTGCACCCCATTCACAGCAAATGTGTTCAAAACTAACAATCGGGGACCTTCAAGCATCGGAGACTTCAATCGAACCATACCCATAGCACAAGCAGAAGGCAAGATGCAACAAGGATGAACTCGATATGCATCACACATGTGCACCATGCACATATCGATATGTATAATCTATATATACATATATGTTGCTTCAGCATATCTAAGTACACTCATACGCGTGTGACAATGTATGTATGTACGTATGTGTGTGTGGTATCAATAGTATGAGTATTATGTGTGTATATATAATATATATATATATATATGTATGTGCTTTTATGTATGCACAGCATGAATTACTATACGTTGGCATTGCCGTTGTTATTGGTATTGGTATTGTAAATTACTAAGGTTGCTTGTTATTAACGATTATAGGCATTTATCGTTTATCATTGTTGACTAAGCCAGTTTCTGTTGGAATTGATTATTGTTGAGTCCATTATTACTATGAGCGTAGTGATACCAGTATAAGTGTATGCCTATGTTTTTTTGGGGGGAACCACCTTTTGGTTGGAGGTTTCTGGAAGACCGGATCATTTTGGGGGGTCCCCTAGAAAAGACACACCCACATGAGTCACAATCAAAACCGAGCGGCATTAGAATGGTTTCCCCAAACCAATGTAAAGAACTACAAAGGCGGATATCCGCACTAATTCAGCTGACTGTCCCTAACCTTCACTTACCCGGGCTTTGATTTGCGGCTCACATGGGTATGGGTCAAAATGAACCAACCAGGAATCGGAACGCGGGTTTTACTCCTTTCCATTTGCCAGGGCAACCCATTTTGGGGTTCCCTCGGCACCTAGCTGGGGGACCTACTGTGGATGGACGAAATCCATTTCGTACCAACCCTGGAATGATTCGATTCCCCAACGTAAATACCAACAAGCAATGGCTTCCCATGGTTTCTTAGGTGGTGCGATCTCTGGATTTCGCAACCATCCACAGTACCGCCACCTCCGGTTTTCGCCGAGCGCCTCCGCCCGGAGCTGCAACTTCTCCTCCGCCGCACGGTCCACCTCCAGCGCTTGCACCGGCGGCTTCACCTGGCAGCTCCATGGCCGAGGCGCGATTCGAGCCGGAAGGTGTGCGTTGGCATATGGGTGCAGGTCTAAAAAAGGTACCCAGAATGGCTTGCCCGGGTAAATGGAACCATGGACATTCAAACCTGCGGTCCCCTGGTGGTGAATTTTGACCCATACCCATATCTCGGTGGCTTTCTGCTCCCCTGCTAAACGTTTTACGGAAAACCCGCTAGTTTGCAAAAAGTTGAAGTCCTAACATCCAAGCAAAATGCACCAAAGATATAGGTTTGGTGTGCCTTGTGCATTTCTGCCTCTCTCGTTTTTTGTTGTGCCCGGGGGAGGTCCCAATATTTGGGTATGGCTCGTCCCAAATATGGGTTGTAAAGCATAAAGCATCCACACACACACACATCCAAACACACACACACAAGCAAAGCAAAGCAAAGCAAAGCAAAGCAAAGCAAAGCACAGCACAGCACAGCACAGCACAGCACAGCACAGCACACAAATAGTTAGAATGTGGGTGAAGTACTTTAAAACCAAGATAAGCCATGATGTGATAATGCATCATTTAGCAAGTGGTTTCTCCCATTCTTGGGGTTTCATCCCAAGTGCAGGAATTCGTCCTTGCTATCCGAATCCCATCTGAAGGATTGCTGTGCCTTGGTGCGAATAGAGATACAGTAGGTTTGTCGCTGAGCCCGCCTTGCTCTTCTCGACAGCCCCTCTAACTTACTACAACGCTTCAACTGAACTGGTCTGTGAGCTGGGTTTGTGTCAGAATAGGGGGACCTCAAAATTGATGGCGTCACTTTGGGTGTCTTTTCAGCCCAAGCCAAAAAGGCCATGGACATAACCTGATCAACATGCACTTGGCCGAAGAAGCATGCAACTCTGTTACGAGGGTTTATGTTTGCTTCAAGCACAAACTCTTGACATTTGAAGATTGGTGTTTTTTTGCCCAGCCCTTCTTTTGAGCTCGCCTTCTCATGCGCTGCCATCAGCTGGTGCTGCAGAGTGCGTTCTGCTTCTGCCTCCGCTGCTGCTTGGGCCTCGCCAAGCCAGGGGTAACCGCAGCGAATGCACACTGCTCGCTTCGACAGAATGTGGGAGGGAACATGGCATCGGTAGAAACCATGCTGACGGACAATGTGTCACCTCAATTTGGTTGATGTTGACCCCGTCCCCCCCGCCAAAAGTTTAAGTTTTAGTGGGTCCAAAGGAAACTCCTCTGGTTCCCGCAAAGAAGCCCGCAGATCCAACCAAACAGCCGTAAACTCAACGCCTGCGTGTTTTTTTTTGGGTGGCATACCGCTCTCTCCGCCTAAAAAAGTCGCCAGGACTCGCTCTCGAGACGCCCAGGGCCGACACCTCTGCGGCCGACAGCTTCGCTGCCAAGTCCTCACAGCTGGGATGGGTCGGGCGGCCACATGTCTTGACAAACCCTTCCTCCACGCCCAGTTTTCACAAACAAAATGTTGGGTTCGGAATTGTCCAGCCCCTTCTCCAAACCCTGTCTTTCAGCCCTTCAAAGCCAGCCGCCCGAGCCACTTAGGGTCTATTTTGCAACCTCATGCAACCTCCTTCTTTGAGGCTCATGTCCTTTCTTTTCAGGTTGGCTGCAACATTTCCCCTCCCACCCCTCCCACCCCGCCACCCCACCCCACCCACCCCACCCACCCCCCCCAACCCCCCCCACCCCCACCCCAACCCCCGCCCCGCCCCCCCCCAAGCGCAGGCGGCGCCTTCTCCCCGCGGCGCCGCAGCTCCACGCGTCCCATGACCTCCTCGGAACCCCGCATCAGATCCGCCAGCGCCGCCTCGAGGTCCTGGCAACGCCCGAGGCGATGCACATCCGGCGGACGGATTGGAGCTGCGGAAAGCCATTTGTTTGTGATGGTTTTTTTGGGGGGGTAGCGAAAAGGAACACCAGGGTCCCCAAAAAAGAACAGACCCATAGATAGATAGATAGATAGATAGGATAGGATAGGATAGGATAGGATAGGATAGGATAGGATAGGATAGGATAGGATAGGATAGGATAGGATAGGATAGGATAGATAGATAGATAGATAGATAACGAGACAGACAGACAGACAGACAGACAGACAGACAGACAGACAGACAGACAGACAGACAGACAGACAGACAGAAAGATAGAAAGACAAATTAGATTTGATAGGTTAGATTAGATAAGATAAGACTAGATAAGATAAGATTATATTAGATTAGATAGATAGGAGAAATATATAGATATCATGGAATAGCGTAGAATACACATAGAATAGAATAGAATAGAATAGAATAGAATAGAATAGAATAGAATAGAATAGAATAGAATAGAATAGAATAGAATGGAGTTCATTGTTATGTGTGGGTGTGAATAAACATGTATGCGTATGCGTATAGAGATATGTATGTGCATGTGTGTGTGTGTCTCCACGTTCCATATGCATATTACAAATGTGTATATATATATATACATATGTATAGAGAGAGAGAGAGAAAGACATAGAGAGAGAGAGATAGTGATATTTGCTGAACAGCCACGCAACCAACGCCAAACTAGGAATACATTGTCCACTGTGATATGACTAAGGCAAAACATGATATATGGCAGTGGCCATAAGAAACCGGTACCAAAATGGAACCCTGATAAGTGGAAACATGGACCAACACCTGCGTAACCCCTCCTGGTTAATTTTGAGCCACACCCATATGGATGATGCTAATCTCATCCATGAGCATGCGTAGGTCCTTCAGAAACATGGACTTGGCGTGCGTTTCACATGAGAAGTCCCTCTCAAAACAGAAGGGATCTCTGCGGAAGCCTCCCTGAGTGAGTCCAGAAGGGTCAAATAGGCCTTTAAAAAGAAAGGATCATGAGCAGAAGCGTCGATTTTCCAGGGTGCCGCATCTGTGCTCCAAAGTGCTCGGACCCAGATTAAAACAGATCAAAGGGTTCAAGCCCTTTAACAGCAATTCATAGAATGATGACCCGCACAGCAGTTGAAGAGAAGGACGCCTAGATCATCCTGGATCCTGTCGAGCCTGGTTGCTGTGCTTCACGCATTGGGCATCAGCTCAACAACATCTCTACCCCTGATCCATGTATCCACCACCCCTCCCAGCCTGGACTGTCTGACGCTGGGCATCACAGTCCTGCCACGTGAAACCCTAGCTCCCAACCCACAGATCTGGTTTTTGACAAAATGGTTGTGTCTTCTTTTGAGGGTACACCCTTTTTCTAGTTTTAGAGGAAACCAAAAGGAAAACCACCATCTTAGTGGGTCCCCTTAAAAAAAAAAAAAACATGCCCAAATGGGGCTGTTTGAAAAGAATATCATGCGGCAAAAGGAGGATACAACTGCGTTGGCTCGAGGAGCTCCATCCAAGTCGTCTGCTGCCTATGGTGGGGCTAGCCCATCTACCGTGCCTCGTCATAAGCACACAAAACAAAACAAACAAACAAACAAACAAAACAAACAAACAAGCAAGCAAGCAAGCAAGCAAGCAACCAAAAAAAACAAACAAACAAACAAACACACAAAAACAACCAAAGAAAGAAACAACCAGCAGTTATAAAACATAACATAACATACCACAACATACCACAACATAACATAACAAACACACAAACTTGCGAATGTGTCTCCTAGGCATGGGGAACTGAGTGAGTCTTGTTGCAGTTGTTCTTGGCATTTTAGTGAGTCCATGTCACATGTCCCTTCCAAATGGAGACTGGTACTTTTTACCGAACCTGGTGGAAGGTTCGGTCAAAGGTACCCCAGGGCCATCAGAACCGAGAAAAAGAGCCCAACCTCCAAGCATCTCGCTGGGACGCTCAAAACGCAGCCGTCCTTCGAGAGCTGGCTGTCTCCATTGGGGGAGCCGGCCTCTGCTCGCTGGCCAGACCAACCCGCCGCTTCAAACCGGGAAAGCGTGGCCTTTCTTGGTATTGGCATCTTTTGGGAAGCATCATAAACATCTGCATGGAAATTTTAACAGTACAGGAATCGAGTTGCGGCAACCAGACCATCTCGCCACTCCCAAGGCCTCATACGCACACTTTGAGCATGATGTCATGTGACATGAAACCGCATGTCCTCCCACTACAGCGACCATGCAGAAAATATGGCATTGAGCATCCCTCCGATGCATCACCCTCATGGGCCGAACCAGGTTGTTGCATCCCAAGAGCCGCTGAAGGTTAAGAAAACCCAACCACAAAGAGAATCAGCTATCGCTCATTTGGGTGTCGTTCCCGGAGTCCATGCTTCCCCCAGCCAACCCATGTTGCCCACCCTAGGAACAAACGGAACGGTTCGCTATCCTTGGGCGGTTGATACCTAGCCCCGGCACCCCACGTTGCCTTCTCAGAGCCATTAGCCTCATCCTCCTCCTCCTCCTCTTCGTGGATGAGCGCTTGGATCTCCTTGCTTTGATCCGACCGAGAAAGCCACCTCCACAACTTCTTGTCGAAAACGAAATCAGCCACGAGACATCACGAACCTCGGCACTTCGCAAGCCAGCCACGGTCCGCGTCACACCAATCGATGCATCGTGCGCTCTTCCACATACGAAGACCTTGAGCCCAAGAAACCTTTTGACAAGAAGGTCTCCTGAGAAAAGTCAGAAATAGCAAATCATCAGCTTCCCTCTAATTGGTGGTTTGGAGGAGGGGTCTTCCATTTACTCTCCACAAGAACCAGGGGTTCAAATCCAAATCCAAACCAATCCAAACCACCAACTAAGCGTGACCTGAAATGATGTCAATCCAACGTGTCGACCGTTCAAGCTCATTAGGCGAGATGTCCAAAGGACCCACAAAAAAACAACGCTTTGGGCCACAGAATCGAGATGGTTCTCCCATACAAAGAGCCTTGAACATTCGTCAGCAGGGTTGATGATCCCACAAACAGCAGGATCAAACACGGCCTTGACAGTCCGCTGCTGTCAGTTTTTGAGGCACAGCACATGGGTGTGCCTCAACATAGGAGAACCCACAACTTGCTTTGCGGAAAAGCCGGTGGCTTCCCTAACCCTCTCCCCGTAATGTGTACCCTCAAAACAAGGGGCACACCTAAATACTTGGTTGCCGTTGACGACTCTACAACTTCAACCTTTTGCGGGAAAAATCTGCCCTGTTTCAACCGCAAAAACACGTCCAAAGATCCGTTACCCAAAAAATAGCCATCGAGTTTTAGACCCCCAAAAAAACAATTGGGTGGTTTTGGTTTTCCTTTGGATATCCCGCACGGCCGCTCCTCCGGCACAGCGTCGAAGCCCAAGGAGGCTAGAAGCTGCTTCGCCTGGAGACGGGAAGAGACGAAGGGACGGGTATATGTGGCCATGGGGCATACCCTATGGCTCCATTTTGGGGCGGATGAACATCCATTTGCCACCTATTTTGATGTTCACCAGGGGTACAGGGTTTTGACCCACAGCCATGTGTCGATAATGATCCTTCCCCGAAAACGTCCCGTCAAACCAAGGTGAAAAGGGTAAGCCTCAAAAGAAAACAAGCTCTTAGTTGGCCATGGGCTTTTCAAAATCCAAATCGTAGACCCAGTGAAGCGGACCCAATCCAACCACTAAAATAGATAAAATGAGTGGTCAAAACCCAAATCGTAGCCCGCAAATCAGAACAATCAACCAAGCAATCAAACAACGGACACACACAAATGGCCATGGTTGTCAAAACCCAAATCGTACCCCCAGGGAACATCCCAATCCAACCACTAAAATAGATAAAATGAGCGGCGCACCTATCCCAAAACGGTAGCATTGGTTTTGAACCATGGCCATATAGATGCAGAATACGTAGATAGATGACATTGACATGGTTGAACCAATACAATTGCCAGTGTGACCAAAGTCCAGCAGATTCCGCACTTGGCGCACTTCTCACTTGGATGTGATTTTCAACACCGTTTTGGGATCCCATTTTTGGGGTTTTCGGTACACCACCCATTTGAGAACCTATTTGAGTGCTTGGATTGGGATGTTCACTGGGGTTACGATTTGGCTTTTGACCCATGGCCATATACAGAATACGTAGATACATAGATGACATGGAAACATGGACATATGGATGTATGGGACTGTGGGACGTATGGATGTATGAATGTACGGATGGATGTATGGATGAATGGATGTTTATCGAAGCTCGCGCTCCTTTCGGTGTCCCTTCAAAACCATCCAAAACCCTTGGCTCATCGATCCATAGCCGAGCCTTCCCCAAGCTCATAGAAGCCCAAACCCCTCACCAAGCAAGCGGGAGGGGAGGCTGACCTCCAAATTGTCGCACGCATCCTCGCTTCTACACCAAGAACGTGCGAAACGTTTGAAGACATGTCTAGGGGTTCAGACATTGATTGATTTGTTTGACTCCCGACATCAAATCAAGTTAGAATCGCAACCAAAAAAAAAAGGAGAAAGGTTCGGTCATCTCTCCAGGCAGGGGCAGAAAGTCAGAACTCACATTTTTTTTTTCGGCGTTTCAATACTTTGCTACCGAGTGGTTGCGGCCTTCAAATGAAATCCGCCTTGCCAATGAGCGACATTCTGAGCCTTTTAGCCCCTATGGGTGGCTGGGGTCAAAAAAAACTGTACCCAACATGGGGTCGGGGTAATGGAACCAAAAACTAAAACATCTGGTTTTCTGTTGGCTTTATTTTGAACCGCATGGGATTCTCAACGCTGGCCGCCTTGTCCCGCCAGAAGTCCATCTGCTGCGCCAAATGCTCGTTGCCGGCGGCCGCCTGGCCCAACCAACCGCAAGACACCCGCAGACATCCGCAGACGTCCAACAGTGGCGTCCATCGTGACCCTCTGAATGTGACAAAAGGGAAGCCACGCTGAAAAGAGATTACAACTTCTAGGGGCACCTTCCATTTCCATTCTTTCCAGTGATCCTTCTTTACAGCAAACCAACCGAAACCCTGACAAAACAGATTTTGTGTTCGAAAAGAACGATGGTTGAACAGAATGGAATCGGAATCAACCCCCAGAAAATTGTTTGAGAACCCTTCAGATTCTCCACGCCCGAGGGCCCAACGAAAATCTGACGCGACCAAGCTGAGTCCACGCCTCCGCAGTGGCATCCAGGAGCGCCTTCTGTCGATCCGTACCAGCTGCCTCGAGCTAAGAAATCGGAAGCAGTCTACACGCAGCTTTCCAGCAAGGCGTTTCTTAGTGAAAATCAATGGCTGTGGGTCAAAAAGGTGCCCAAAATGGAGTCCTGGTACATGGGGCTCCTGGACTAAAACCAGAATGGTCTCCTGCTAAATTTTGACCTACACCCAAATGATGCATTTCAGAATTGAAGATAACACCAAGGCCGTTTTTGCTCCAACATTTTCTTGTTTTTTTTTGGCTCGCTGAGTCCGCAGGACACTGCCACGTCTTGCACCTAAAATTAAGCACGCCCATCCAGGAGTGCGATGTTGGTTGTAATGAAAACAACATGCATTTATTCAGCAGTTGGTTCTTCACATACGGTGATATTGTGTCAACAAGAATGTGGACTTTCGTTCGGTAGCTCAGGTACCCTTTTAAAGTTGCTGGTGAAGTCTCGGCCCGAGCACCTCTCAGACGGTGAGACCGGTCTGACAGCAGAGCCTCGGGACACCTGCCATGGATTTGCTTCTGGCCGACCAGCAGGAAGGCACCATCGTCAGCATCGTGGCCAAAGTCTCTCTTGGGTGCGATGAGCATGGCAGAGCTCTGCTCATGGGGGTGTCGCCGCAGCAGGACTTCCTCCTCAACCTGCCTTGCAAGGCAGATCAGCTGGTTGCGATCTACGATGCGAAGGTCTCCTTCGCGGCCTCTTCGCAGCCACTCCTGCAGGTGGACAGCTATGACAACGTGGTTGTTTGCCCCACGCACACCCGGGAGGCCTTCTTGTGCTTCAAGGAAGCCTGCGCCGGAATTGGTGGCCTGTCTTTGGGGGCGCAGCACGCCGGCATGCGCCCACTTGCACACCTTGACCACTCACAGCTTGCAGTTGATGCACTCCGGCTACAGGGACACAGCAATGTCGTGCTCGGCGATGTCGCCAATCCCACCATGGTTCACAAGCTCCACAGCTGCGCTGGAGGGACACCCTGTCTCTTAGCGGCAGGCTTTCCGTGCCAGCCATACTCTTGCCAAGGAGATGGCTTAGGCCTTGCCGATCTGCGCGGCAAAACCCTGCATGCTATACTTCGATGTGGATGGCTGATGCAAAGTGCTGGCATCATCCTTGAGTGCGTTGCCAATATCATCAACTACCCGGAGGCGCTCAACCTTATACAGGCTTATGCTCGCAGCAGGGGTTGGCGCATGCACACCACCATCCTGGACCTACAGGACCAATGGGCCAGCAGACGCAAGCGTTGGTGGTGTGTTCTTTCACCTCACCATCAAGCTGCCACTTTCGCATTGACGGCCTGGCCAAAATCCACCTGCTACAGCACGGTCCATGACGTCATTCCGGAGTGGCCTGCCTGGCCAACAACTGAAGAAGAAAACCTGCTGTGGGACTCCAATGAGTGCACAAAGTACCAGGACCCCATCTATGGCACGGACAATCGTGGACTCGACCTACGAGCTCCTGCTCCCACTGCACTGCACTCCTGGGGCTCTGCCTTAAGAGCCTGCCCTTGCGGATGCCGCAAGCATCCACTGTCGGAGCATCGACTCGTGCAGCATGGACTCCGTGGATTTTCAGTCCCGTCCACGCTGCAGGGCCAACCTAGGTTCATACACCCCAAAGAAGCAGGCCTGCTCAACACTTGGCCAGCTTCGATTCCGCTCCCATCACCGGCCAGAGGAGCTCTTGTCCTTATCGGACAAATTGCGGCGCCTTTGCAGGCAGTGTGGGTCTTCTCACACATCACCAACTGGATCGCCGAACTCCACATCGGTCATGCCCCACGCTCTCCAATCAACTTTGTCCAGGAGTATCAGACCAAGCTCCTTGTCGACCGGGATCTGATTTTTGCAACTCGGCACCACTTCTGCCCACGCACCATCAGGCTTCGCCAGCACAACGAACCAGATGTCCACATCAACCTCAACCAACCTACTACCATCAAACAACTACAGCAAGCCGAGACCAAGCTACAAGGCTGGGCAGCCACGGTCCACATCGGACACAAAGGCCTCAAGCGAGCACCGGATGAGCTACTGCTCGCAACACCGCACGACACCTACCAAGTCCATCGCTCCCAGAAGAAGCAAGCACGCAATCCGCCCACAGGGACCATCAGTGTCCAGCTCCTGCACGCGGCCGGCCGCGAAACCTACTACCTGAGCTCAGGTCTTCTCTTCGCAGAGGCCAGCTATTTTCCAGAGCACCTCAGCGGGGATTACATCAACCAGGACAATGGAGCCTTCCTCACACTTGACGAGCGGCTCTGGAGTAACGCAGTCATCCTGCACTGCGGCAATCTGCGAGCCTGCGGCACTCCTGCCACCATCTGCTGGAGCGACACAGCAGTCATCCACAACATTGGCCAACTCCTCAAGTTTGTGGCCTCCATCGATCCCGAGCCTTGGGGGATCATTCTCCCAGTTGCTGCAGCAGATCTACTACGACCCGACCCTTCACCACACCATGTGTGTGCGCTCGGAAAGTCCCTACGGCAGTACCACCGACTTGTCACTGTTTTTCCCCACAACCAACACTGGACGCTGCTCACCTTGCAGCTTGGTGAGGAGGGCTCAGCTGAAATCACTTGCTGGGACGGCCTGCCACACCTCAACCACAACGCTGCCGACACCCTCGCCACTCGGATTTGCCACCTCATGCACTGCAATCACCAAGGTGTTGTCCACCGCAACCACTTTCAGCAGGCTGCCCCAGGGACCTGCGGTGCCATTGCTCTTGCCCATTTCGGTATAGCAGCAGATCTCTGGGATACCATTACCCATGAGAGCATCTACAATTGGCATCTTGCCTACGGCACCACCACCCATAACCCTGATGAGCTTTTTGCAGGCGGCTTCCCAACTGAGCAAATCACCCACGACCTGACACAGTTGTTGCTCACCAAGGGGCTACCCCCCGAGGCTGTGCAAGACCGCGCAAGCCAGGCCATCGCCAAACTCAGCGCCACTACGGTGCAAGAAGCACTTGAATCCCGCAACCCCTGGCAATCCCTGAAGGCCGCTGCCTCTCGACCGGCCACACGCTTCAGATGGATTTCCACCGATGAGCTCAACAACCACATTGCCACACAAGCCCAACGAGAACACGGCGCCTTCACCCCGAACGCCAAGCAGAAAAAGCTCAAATCCGACAAAAAAGCGCGACACCAATCGGAGCTTCAGATTAGCCCTGAGCACCTTGTCATCCCAACCGGCACTTTTGTCGACGACCAGGACGAACCCCTGCAACAGATCCCAGCTTCGGAGGTCGGTGCCAACCGCAGGGGCATTGCCATCGTCCCGGCCACTGAAGCCAACAGGTTCCTGGCTGATGGAATTTCCATCTCAATCGACGCCCTTGCACTCCTCACAACTGCCGAGCTCCCTGTCAACCTTGCGGGGCTCACTACTGAGGCTGTTCGCTTCCCTGCCCTGTACACCGGCACGGATGAGCCGGTTTTGCTCACGGGGACTCTGATTCAACTCGGCGATGTTTCAGTCAAGCGCATTCAGCCAGCCAACCAACCCCTTGAAGATGAGCCTGACCTATGCATCTTTCGCATCAGCGTCTTCAAGGACGAGCTACCCCACGACTGGCCTGACTTCATCAAAGCTCCCTTGCGAAACGTCATCAGGGCCACAACCTGCCTGCAACTTTGCCAAGACGATGCTTGCGGGCAAAAATGCGGCAAGTTCCACCCTTCTCTTGAGGAAGCTGTCTCAGCCGTCATCCTTGATGCCTGGGCCTGGAGATACTCCAGCCTTGCTGGTCAGAAAGTGACCCCGGCCGACAGCACGGTCTTCCAAGTTCTGGTGAGGGTGCCGCTCTCCGCTGGCAGCCACCTACACATCGCCTCTGGCTCCAATGGGATCTACTTCGACCCACGCTCCACAGATGGCCGGGCTGTCGACGCTACCTTCTCCGTTGTGTGGCTACCAGCCGCCACAGGCCCTGAGGCACGCCACAAAGCTCGAACCTGTGATTTCACCGTCAGCCTTACACGCCTCAACACCAAATTTGGCATTCGTGTCAAAGCCACCAACGAGGCAGCTGCTCACTCCTTCCTTCGCCCGGGACTGCCTTTTGTCAACATCAAAGTCTCCTGCATCTACCGCATCTTTCCTCTGCCCCATGGAATCCAGCGATCAGCAGTGCAACAACTTCTCACTGGATGGGAATGGGCTGCCCGTCCCATGCAGGCATCGCGCGGTAGTGCAGAAGGAGCAGCTTGGGAAGTTGGTGCTTCCGAACCGCCAAAGAAAGCCATCCAGCCTGGGCCACATGGCGAAGTCATCATCACCAAGGTGCGTGATATCGGACAGCGCGAACCACCAGCCTCAGGCTTCACTGCCTCAGGCAAGACTATCCGCCACATCAGGTGCAACGACCAGCGCCAAAAGCAGAGCCGATCCGTGGCAGAATGGCACTGATCCTTGGGCCCGCTGGCACAACTCTTCCAGCTCTGATGTCGACACGCCTGTCACGTCCACACCGGCCCCGGCCACTGCCAAGAAGCTCGACCAGCTTGGCGAACAACTACGGACTGATGTTCGCCAATCAGTCCTAGCAGAGCTTGCCAGCTCCTCTGATACTCAATCAAACCAGCTTGCAGTCAACGTTCGGGAGCTCCAGGAGCAAGGCCGCAAATTCGAATCCTGGTTCCAGCAAGCCGGCGAAAGCAGCCGCAAGCAAGCTGACGATCTGCAACAACTCCGGGGCATCGTTGTCCAGCAACAGCAAGCCATCTCCGACGTGCAGCAACAAGTTCGAAGCTCATCGGACAGCATGCAGCAGAACTTCCATTCTTTCAAAACTGACATCCACCAACACTTCGACGACCAGTTCTCCCGCCTTGAGGCGTTGCTCGCCAAAAAGGCGCGCACGGAGTGACTACGCCCCCCTGGCTCCCAGCCTCGGCCTGCTGGGAGGCCAAGCCATCGTCTCGGCCGACCGAGCCTACTCTGGCTCATTTGGGCTTTTCTCTTTCATTGCTTTTCTGGCACCT